TGTTCGTGTTTAAATGAGTCCTAAAAGAGTTATAGTCGGTTAAGTGTAACATAAGTCGTCTGGATAGGTATTTAGTAGTGTGACCGATGTAATTATTTATGAGTTTTGTTTGATCAGGAATACAGTTCCTTAAAGGGCATTTGAACTCGTAAATAATGTTGGTTCTTTGTAGTTTTGATTTTGCAAGTGTGTTGTTATTTTTTTAGGATAAGGTTAGCTGTTTAAAAAATTTTGTAATAGATGATTTAATTTTCTTGTTCGGATCGACTGAGGTTGTTTATTTATTTATAATATTTTTGAGTGAAAATTAATCTTGCTTATAGTTGACGTGTATTTGGCTTTTGTAGAAGATGTTAATGTTATTGTTTTTGTCTTTTTTTTTTGTTACTTTGGAAAGAAATAGTCTAATCTGGTAGTCGATGAGGCCGTACATACTGCAGGACGAATAGTCTGTGTTGAGATAGGTATGGACTTCTTACCAGCACCAGTAGACCGTAATTGAGCTCAGCTGAAAACCAGAATATCAAATACCGAGCGTCTGCCTGACCTATGTCAGGCAGACGCTCTCCACTCATAAGATTTGCGCAAAAATTCTTTCTGCATGTATTTATACAGTTTTTTTTAAAGACCCATAGGAGATAACTCTGATATAACCACGGGAGATAACTCTGGTAGGAATTATCTCCCTTGAAATCGTTTACGTGTTTAAGATTTATATAAAAAATGAAATCAAAAATATAATTGCAATATCACTACTGTTTATGGAAACATCCACGATTTAAAGAAATCATAGAAAAAAGAACGTTCTTTTTATTAATGGTAAAAATGATTTACTGTTTGTTCTACAAAACAATATCTACTTTATAAAACTTGAAACATAGATGTATTTGTTTTTGATGTTTAATCCTTGGTATGACGGTAAATTACATTCGGCAGCAAGGCATTTGTTCGGCAGATTGAAGGTTTTGAGGAGCGTGGAACTACTTCTTAATCACTGTTGTTCCAAGGTCTACCTTGACCCAGGGTGGTAGTATATGTTAGGGTCCCAGCTATGGGAAAATATTCAAAAAACAAAACACTATGACATTATAAAAATACATTTTATAAAGGTACCAGCAATACATTTTACAAAAAAGTACCAGCAATACATTTTTATAAAAAAATGACCAACAAAATATAGTAAAATGATCAACATAAAGGAAAACAATTAAGTTCAAAATATTTAGGCATTAAATAACCAATAGAAATCGATAATCCGCTGAACAAAATCAAGCATGAAATAACTTTTTCATGGCTTTAATCCATACAATATCCTACAATATTTTAAAGAAAGCAACCACTTGATTATATAATGTTATTGTTATTTTCGATTCAGCGAAAAAGATTTTAGTGTATTTTCTATGTAATAGTTTATTTCGACGGTAATTTCTGTACAAGCTAAACACCAAAGTGGATCACAAAAGCCTTGAATAATTCTTTGACTTCTGATTGGCTAATATATGTGAAAATATATACAACGCCTACCCAATCTCATTTGCCGTCAAGCAATTTGGAGACTATCACGTGATTCACTTTACTTATAAATACTTGGATACATCTTCAACTCTTCCTCTTGTTTTCTCTCACCTACAAGCGATGTAAGCTCTGTCGAGAAATTGCGTTTTTTCCTTTCGGGGGAAGCGCCATGAAAACGCTATGAAACACACACAGACACACACGCACACATGTACGTACGAACATCGCACTGCTACGCACATCTAAGACAATCTATGAACATTCACTCTTTCAACCTGATTCTGTTTCTGCAAGAACACAGAAATTTATCAACTTCTAACATTGAAATTTTCATCAGCAAACAACACGCCGCCTGAGTACGTATGATTTTCAACAATTCATCCCAACCGATATAATTCCTCTTCTTCGGTGAACGAATTTGAGCGGCAAAATATTTCAATATATTTTTAGGCTGATTTTCTACTCAAAAGTGTTAAACTAAAAAACTACATTTTTAGTCTGTCTATATTTCTGAGATGAGGTATTATGTACATTATTTACATTATTCAGACTATTGTCCTCATCTTTGTCGCCATATTTATCACAACGTTTCGGCCGTTGTACGCTCCAGCCTTCTTCAGGTGGTTGGAATTTCGAACTGAACCCTTTATTTCGCTCACTGGGGTAGACTGTTCTAGTTCCACGTGCCATGTCTAATAGATGTCCGTTATCAGTTATCTCCTGTTAATTTCCCTCTGAAAGTTCCCCACTACCTTAATCGGGTATTGATCCATGACACAGTGGATAAAGGCGTTGGTTAGATCCAGTGACAGGACCCAAAGAGTGTGAGTTCAATACCCGGTTAAGGCAGTGGAGAACTTAGCAGGAAATAACTGATAACTGACATCCATCAAACATGGCAGAGTAGAACAGTCTACTCCAGTGAGCGAAATAAAGGGTTCAGTTCGAAATTCCAACCACCTGAAGAAAGCCGGAGCGTACAACGGCCGAAACGTTGTGATAAATATGGCGACAAAGATGAGGACAATAGTCCGAATAATGTAAATAATGTACATTTTTAGTACTAAATACTACTCGTTTTTCAAGCGAAGACTACAATTTTCTGTCACTCAACAAGTTTGAACTCATCTTATGAAAGCCTTCAGCAATTCAACTAGCAGTTAAAGGTAAATAACTCCTGCTATTTTTAAACATTGAACTTTCAACTTCAGGAACATATAACATAACATTGCGGTTAACAACTTGTTTAATTCTTTTGCAAGTAACAATACATCTTACTAAAGTTCTCCAAACTCACACATTTTTAATGCACATCACAGTTTATCAACATTTTCCTCACTCAAAATTCCAAGGATAAGTAAATTTCAGCATTTCAAACGCAAGTGAATTCCTGTTTTGTACAATTGTTGTTATGCATATATAAATTCCTTTTACTTAAGCAGCTTTTCCTGTTGAATGTTATTCTTCTTGTTTGCTTGTTCCTTGTTAACACATTTGTAAAATAAAAATAGTACGGGTTGAATCGAGAACGTTCAACGCACTACAAGACCAAAATTTCAAGTGAAAATTCTCCTATGGTTGGACAGCCTAAAACGAAAAAATTTCGAAGATCTTTTCAAGCACGAACTGTGTGAAGTTAAAAGGGACCCTTTTTCAAAACAACTGCTGGGAAAGTAGGTTTTTTAGGGGTTTTTTTTGTTTTGTTTTTCTAGTTGAACCATTGTTTTTTTTTTATAGATTTCTTTTATTGCTTTCTCTTTTTGTCATTTACAAAATCTTTGTTTTTTCCTTGCTGTAATTTTCCACTTTTCGTTGATAATTCTTGAAATTATTATCCTGCCTATTATGGCACACAAAAGGAAAATTTTTTGCAAACTTTGTATTTGTACCATTTTTCGTAATTCTGTAAATAAATGTGTTTTTTCTTTTAAAATGGTTATTTTGTTTTATAATTTTGTGCTTTTTATTATGACTAAGTTTTTGAGGGTTTAGCACAAGAACTTGGATTTGGTAGGAATAAAATGTTTATATGATAGAATAAAACATCGTATAACCTCTCACAACTTTGGTTCTAAAGCAAATCCTCAAGTGTTGTTATCTTTTACAGATAAAGCAGAGTAATTTGCTCAGAAATTCTTTTCCAACTCCACTCTCGACTCATCTGGAGTATCTCTGCTTAATTTCCGCCCATGAACAGTCTCTACTGATTGATATGCACATAACTCCATTTATTGTTTTGCTGATTCAACGGTATCCCTGCAAATTTTTGTGCAAACTTGTATTATAACTTGTTTTGTAATTGTGTAAACTGTAAATAAACTCGTTTTTCCTTTTGGAATTTTACGCAGTGATTTCATGATTTAAAATTTGCGCATCTTGCTGTTTCTACCAACCAAGTTTTTTGTGTGTGTGGCATGAGGACATGAAGTTTGTAAGAAAAGAAAATTTTTATAATGGCTCTCATGATCCTAATTATTTTCAGTTATTAAAATATTTTCTCTTGCTGATTGGATAGGACACAGTAAATATCGCGTTCAGTACCCCAAATTTGCTTGTCATTTGCCTGACACGGTGTACGTCTCTGATAATGACCGGCAATCGAGGAGGTACGTTATGTTCGAATGTTGAATTCATTTTTCCGCTGAATACATTTTCCTTATTATGATTTTTGGAATGCGCAGTCCGATAAACGTAATAGACATTGTTTCAAATAGAAATGGGACGTCTACTTCAAATTCGAGTAGCCGCTATAATAATACTTGAAGTAATATATATAGTAATATATATTAAGTATATATTAGTATATAAGTAATGTGTCTTTAGTCGGTATCACCCCATGAAAGGCAGTAAAGGCACTAAGATACAAGCGGTTACTGTATATGGAACAATTAGGAAGAGAAACATTAATAATAAGCGGGAGGATAAAAGAGTAATCAGGAGGAGAGTAGATATCGATTGACATAGCATTTAAATTTTTACAGATTAAAGTTTGCTGGGAAACATGGAGCCGGAAGGGAGTTCGACAAGCGAGAAGTGCGAGAAAACGAAACTGTTAGCATAGAACTTACGGCTATATCTAGCCATTTTATCTGTATATTGATGAGATCTCGACGCCAGTTTAGTACTGAGTCTAAATTCAAAAATCTCTAGGTACCACAATGAAGAGCTCATGCAAACAATTGCCATAAAAGTATTTATAGATAAGAGGCAACCTTACGGCAGTGGGAAAGGATATATATATATATATATATATATATATATATATATATATATATATATATATATATATGTGTGTGTGTGTGTGTGTGTGTGTGTGTGTGGTCGGGTAACCCAGGCCGCTACGGTGGGTCTTCAGTTCAGTATGCTCTCAAGTCTCTAAATGTGACCCCCCCCCAAGTAGCCGTGGGTGACTCGTACTTAAAAACTGAAAAAGACAACAATCCCGATACCCACTCATAATCAGAGATGCAGTGTGTCAGCCCCAGTATATCTATCTATCTATCTATCTATCTATCTATCTATCTATCTATCTATCTATCTGTTGCATTGGCATAAAGAAATATACAAAGTACACTGAGGTCACTATCGAGTGGCGACAGTATATTCTATCTTTGAATGCAATCTTTCTGCCTAAAACAGACAGTCGTCATTCGATGTTGATCCCAGTGTCTACTTTTATATTTATACACGCTGTATCCGTGATATCCGTGTTTATTTTATATATATTTATATTTATATATATATATATATATATATATATATATGTGTGTGTGTGTGTGTGTGTGTGTGTGTGTGTGTGTGTGTGTGTGATAGATGGTCCACTTGTGTTTTTATATAGATTTAATTGGCCGGTTAACAGAATTTTCTCAGCTGTTGAATGAAGACGCTAAAATCACGGATTTCATGTCATCGATGCTATGAAATGGTTTGTTGAAGTGTGCAGCGACAGGCAAATTCTTGTTATTGTCCCTGGTGTTTTTTTTTTCAACGATTATTGAACCGAAGACGTAATTCTGTTCCAGTTTCTCCAACAAAATTTCCTTTTTTTGCATTTATTGCAGAAAAGCTAATATATGAACAGTCACAATTCAGAGCCGGTGATTTGAATACTACATCAGTGTCAGGAGTGTGAAGTTGCTATCACTGATGATATGTCTACAGACATCGGGGTTTACTGCAGGTCATGTTCCTTTAGTGAGGTAGTGAAGATGCATACCGGATGATGTTAAGGGTGTGTGTAGATTGGGCGGCTGACGTCTAGCGTAAAGTGGGTTTTCGTTGAATATTTTTCCAATTCAAATACTGGAAATTTTTCCAATTCAAATACTTTCTTAAGATATGGGAAAGCTGTGAATGTTGTAATTAAAATTAAAATTAAAATAAAATAAAAAAAAACATGGGAATTATGGAATTATTCTTTTTGTTTCATAGCTTAGAAGAGAATTTTTATTTTGTTTGAAACCTTTAGTAATTGATTTATTGCCTCAAGTAAACTGTTCATTTGTGAGGAAATTTGTTTATATTGCTGAGATGAAGTATTGTAACTGTTTACGCTATTTACATTGTTCGGGCTGTTTTTCTCATCTTTATTTTGTGACGTCCGCCCCCCAGTGTCGCCGCTCCAAACGTGAGTCCGCCTGTCTGTGTCCGTTGTGCTATCCTGTCTTGTGACGACCAACTGGCTTGGTATTGATCGCAGCACCAAATGTGACGTTCTAAACTTTTGGTGATTCAGATGGGAATCTGGTTAGTTTCGGTATCAGCCTTGTCGTTCCCAGCTCGCTTCCAACTTCTGGTTACCGAAGTAACTGCTTTGATCTCCAGTCCAACCTGCCCACGTTGTGAATTGATCTAGGCAGACGAAATCAATCAGTGGCTGGGCCGTACTGCAAGTCGAGTTCGAACAAGGGTGATATCGCACAAGTATGTGCAAAAGAAAATAAAATAATAACTCTAAAAGTTCAAATGTGTTAAAAAAAGGATAGCAATACTTTATATCTGGTTGCTGAGTACAGGACTGATTTTCTTCCCAAACCCGCTATATGGATTCGTGACACTTTGTGTTTGTTAGGCGATTCTTAACACCTCAAGTTGTTTGTTCTTTTAAGAAACTGGTTCTTGGTGTGTCTTCAGGCGAAATTCGTAAAACTTGTTTTGGTGGTGTGAGTCTAAGTCGTTCTTCAAAAATAAATTATTCTTGATTAGAAGATGAGTTCGGAATTTGCGTGGAATCTTTCAAGTCAGCTATCTGCGAGGCTATTAACTCTGCAACTGTCTCTGCCAATTGACAACTCCAACCGGATCTGATTTTCGCTCGCTGCCACTTTGCTTATATGGACGCCGACCAAAACCGGGGTGGGCTTGTCGGGGTTTGAGATTCCTTGATAATTCCAAACCCACAGTCCACTTCTTTGTTTTAGGTCAGGAAAATTTTATTAATTTCCATTTTTGGAAGTCTCTTCGTCTTCCCACCTTCTTCTGCTCTCATATTGGTATCTCACCATGCCCTCAGAGGGTGTCAACAGGTTTCCCCTCTCTCTCACAGTGGCATCTCACACCTATCCCCTCAATGGGTGCCAGCAGGCCTCCCCTCCTGCCTCACATGATCACCCCCGCCCAATACTCCTGCCACCACTCAGCCTTTCATGGTAATGGTTTTGATGGGCTTTCCTCTTTGATACCTTGACTTTACGAATTCAAGCGCGGTACTAGATAGGCAGCTAGGTCTCATCATTTTACAACTGAAATGGCTAAATGTTTCCGTTAGTTCTATTCTAACAGCTTCTTCTTTCGCACTTCTCGCTTCTGGAACTTTCTTCTGGCTTCTTGCTTCCCAGTCAACTTTGATCTCAAAAATTTAATTACAATGTCAATCGTTACCTTCAGTTTCTTAATTTCTGTTTTGTCATTATTTCCCCCCCCTAATAATGTTTTTCTTATTTTCTCATATTAATTGACACTCAGTAACCCCTTGCGACTTAGTTGCTTTATTGCCTTGCATAGGGTGAGATGATGAAAACAAGACAACATCACTTAAAATGAGCACGCTCATCCGAATAGAAAATCATATTAATCAAGCATTTACAGTATTATTTCAAACAAGTTTGTATTTTATTTTTATATTATATGAGCGATTATTTAATCAGCATGGAATAATATTAATTCTTTATTTTCTTTTCCATGTTGTAAAAAGTCTTTGGGATAAAATTCATAAAAATCTAAGATAAATTCGGTTGTATAAGTAATTAAATATTATTTCATGAATTGCTCCCATTTGTGTTCAAATACTTATTCATTTCGTCAGAACCTTGCTCGCTTTTTATTTTATGAGAAACAACACTAAAACATTTACAGCACAGAAAATATTGCTAAAGGCTCAAGAATATTATGAAAAGTGTCGCATCGCAAGGGAACTAAATGCGCATAATTATATAACGCAGTTGCCTCCCTTGCTTCTGTAAAATTAAGTTTCTTGGCATGTGTATTAAGACAAACATTTGGAAGAACTAAAAAAAGAAAACATAACGAAGAATTGAAACTGTCCAGAAAAAAAATATTCCTGAAATTCGAAAGAATATTGAGGAAAATTCTGGATATAAGGAAATTTTTTGTTTCTAGTAAAAGTAATCAGATATTTCTTGCATGCGACATATATTTTCAAGAGATTGGCGATCATGGATCCTCACAACTTTCTATACTACTCAACTGCTGCGAATATTCAACGAATGCCAAGTAATGGTAAGAAAAGAATACCGAATAGAGTCTTGGCTATTGAAGAAACGTGGCATCCAATACAGAATATTTTGAAAAATAATAACCTTGGCTTTTTACTCAGAGAAGAGTGTTCGGTCGATTGAACTTATTCGATATATTGTAGAAAAAACGTTTCAGCCGATCCATTCTCCAGCTTTCTTTAAATTAATTAAGCCTAAAAAATACAAATGATAAAATAATAATACTAGAAAAAAAAAGAAAGAAAAAAAGAAAAGTAAAACTAAAATATGTTGACATTTGAAGAGAAACACACGAAAATGTAAATTAGATTGTAGATGAGGGCAGTACACGGACTCAAACGAACTTTTTTTTCCTACTCCCGTCTCGGTACCACCCAGAAAAACAAACTATAATCGTCACGAAAAGGTTTTTTTAACAGTCTCGAAATCAACATTTTTTAGCAACTTTATTATCATTTACCATTAAAATGTTCACGAAATAAATTTAAAATTTAAAAAAAAAATGTTAATGTTTAAAAAATTAATAAAGACAAAAAAAATTATATTAACTATAATATTTATAAAAATCAAAACATTTCGGTTAAATGACTGTAAATAATATTATATCAACATTTTTTACCTAATTTTCATGCGCAGAATAACTTTTAACAAACATTAATTTAAGAACTGTGCTGTGCATTCATTTTCTATATTAAGAATTTTAACACATATCGGCTATTCTCAATCAATTTTTTTATACTCTTTATTTTTAATTATCTGTATCGCATCGTGACTAAACTTTCAGTGACACTCTCTCCCTCCGTCTTTTTCTCTTTCTGTGTAGGTGTGTGTGTATGTGTGTGCATAGGGCCCATTTATTAAAAGGCCGCCACTATTTTTGTTGTGTGGGCCTGCAATGAAGTATGCATATAATTTTAACACGATGTGCAGCACATTTACACTGGAACGAAACAGGAAGTATTCAACGAACACAATATCGTCAACAAGACGATTTATTATCAACTGACACATGGTTTTATGATGCAACAGTTGGTAATAAATCAACAGGTAAATATATAGATCAGGGGAGGTAACCCCTTCTCACTAATTCTCATTATTTAATCTTTCAAAAATAAATAAATAAATACCATTGCTAATTATTGTATATACGCATAATCCATCAAGCATTTAGGAATTTTGATTTCTATACCTAAAGTTTTTTTTTAAAAAACGCACTGTTAATATCTTTCTATTCTTTCCTCTGTTCTATTTATCAACATGTCTTTTTTGTTAAAATGTCTCTTTATTGTTATCATAGTTTAAGATAGCTTTGAATTTGCCCTTCATATATAGAGGGATGGTGAAATAATCGATGGTGGAATCGGAGAGCTGAGTTCGAATTCCTGTAGAGTTCATTACATTCACTTACGTTCACTTGGGAAAGGTATGAATCCATCTCTTCTCCTCACCACCTATAGCCAAATAGCAGGAGAGATTGGGTCTTATAGACTTGGGTGGCAACGGTCTAGGGGGAGACAACCTTCAAGTATGGGTTAAATAACCGCATCAATCAGCAATTGGACAACAGGGTGAGTATGACTACACCCCTAAAGACATGGTCAATCAAGGCGTGAATTTGGATCAGAGAGCGGTTAAGGTTATCCTCGAGCAAATCAAAGTATATCAAGTTGTTTCTATTTGCTGAGGTAACAATTCCAGCGTCTGCCTAAGTTTATTGTTCCTTTGTCTTTATTTTTACCGATTCATTGATTTTTAATGGAGCTAAATTTTGATTTTTTTATTATAGAATTAATATTGGTTTCATGAGTTTTATACAAATTCCTTTTGATCAGCTTGGAACGATCTACCCTGATTCTGGCCCTTTTGACTACAATTTCAAAATGGAAACACAAAACCTTCAAAACTGGTTCATGAACTGAATTTAAAGACCGGCAAAATTCTTCTTTTGGCAACGAAAGCAACATGTCTGACAGTGAATTTCTTTTTCAAGCCTCGTAACTAAACAGATTTGGGTTTTAGGAGATAAATCAGCCTATGATCCGATTCATACTCCTCACCAGTTTTTTTGAACAGGAGCAGAGGTTTATCCCTTGTTTCCTGTTGAGGATTCGGCTAAAGTCGTCTTCAACTCTATAACTTCTAACGTCTCCTACTGAACTCCAAAATGTTATATTCACTAATTAAATCTTCAACCACTTCAAGTCTAGAGTTAACCATTATCTCTCCTGCATAGACCCAAGAACTTCATTTCTTTCCCTTTCTTACGCTAAAGTCCACACTTTAACCCTCTACCTTGAGTGGTTCTTGTGCCATATATTGGGTGAATATTTGCTTAGCTCCATTAATGTACGGCTCGCTGAGATGAACCTTAAGATTGCCGCTCTTTTCAAATTCAAGAATAGCCTATGAGATCTGCGACTCGAGCATATCGGACTAAAGGCTTTAACGCAAAAACCTTACAGTGGCGTCAGCGGAAGTGGACTGTTACAGCACTTTGTGTTTATTTATAGTATATCTGTCTCGATTTACACGCTCTGGCCTTCTTCAGGTGGCTGGAATTTCGAACCAAACCCTTTATTTCGTCCACCGGTGTAAATTGTTCTAGTTCCACATGTCACGCCTCTTCTAGAGTAACTCAACCCTTCAAGTTTTTGTTTACCTCTGCTGTAGCCAGTCACTTTGGGTTAAGTCACTGGATTACTTCAACCAACGCTTTTATCCACTGAGGTATGTGTCCTTCAGGAAGGCCGGGGCGTACAACGGCCAAAACGTTGGGTAATAAAGATGATAGTTGTTATAATTAGAAGTTTGTAGTAATTTCTGCAGGTAAATGAGGTTCTATTCCTAAGACGCCGTTCGTACAACGTCGAATGATCCTTTTGAAGTCACCGTTCTCGAATTCGCGTATAAATCGCCAAGATTTATTGCATATAAAATACAATTGTGGTACAAGGCCGAAATGGGGGTGGGGACGGGTTGAGGATGGTCTCATCTCTAGCTAATCAGATTCATGACCCATTCACTCGTTATAATTTGCTTATCCACCACAAGAACTCATCTATCATCATTCAATCCTCTATATACCATAATATCGCATACACTCAGGGAACCTACAAAGACACACCAAATGACATAAAAATTCAATGAGCATAAAATTCTATATATAAAAATCTGTAAATGATACCCAATGAGGGGGAATGACCCCCCCCCCCAAAAAAAATATCAAAACAAATGCATAAAATAAAAATAACTGGTTTTAGTTGGACCCGTCAAACCCTCAAAAGATTTAAGAGAGGCCGCCGCATCAACGTTGCAAAGTGAGTTTCCTGGATCGCAGCAACATCCACACCGAACGACAAGAGGTCACAAAGCATGTGGGCAACCTTACTCCGATCCCCCAGGCCATTCACATTCAGACTGGTTATCTTGATAGACATTCTATAGGTCTGAAACGAGAAAAAAAGAACAACCGTCGACCTATTCACATACCGGGCGGAAATCTGCTGGGGTAAGTACCTCAACGGATTGTTCTAGGCTCTTTGTGCCCAACTCTGACATAATCCCTCCATCTAGGACAATACCGCCGACGTCCATAGGGTATGTTAGTTTACCACCCTATATAAAGAGGGATGGAGCAATACGGAGACCCTCCCTGTGCAGAATTTAGCAAGTTTTTTTAGTTGGGTTCGTCCCAATTCAAATAAACGTTTTTCTAGGAACATGTCCTTTGCCTCGAAAAGGTGGTACCAGACCATTATGTACCCTCCGTATCCCTTACACGTGATAACACAGGAGGGGCCTTTGAGAAATTGCGGGGGTCCTCTACAGACATTCCGTCTACTGTAGACAATTTAAACAACGGCTTAATAGTTTTTTGAAGTTTTTTTCTGGATAGAAAGGTCCTTTTCTAATTCATTTCTATCCACATTGCAAATGTAATCTGGCTCAGGGAAATATTTTTTTCTTTTTTTTTCTCTGGCTGGGGCACGCCTATGACATGTGGCCCGAGGCACTACACGCCCAGCAGAAAGGTTGGCGGCTTTCCACCACCACCAACATTCTTTTCTCACGGCACGTCAAGACATTGGAGATCTCTCCAAAAGTCTGGCCGGTCGAAGTTACTTGGAGAACTATATCCCTAGTGTCCCTAGTGGCGATGCCGGATTTACCCATTACCTTACTGATCTCGTACACTTGCCCTTATTTGGTAAAAATAGACCCCCATCTGGTCTTTACTAATGTTCACGGGCACGCCATGCACTGTGAACCTTCACGTCGTCAGTCAGCAGGGAGATTGTGCGTGTATTAATGGCCTCCAACGCCTCTGGAATTGTGAGGAACTCATTTCCATTGATGAATTCCTCGTATTTTTTCTTTAGTTCGACATAGTACGATGCTTCTTTTTTCTTCGGTCTGTTTTCAACGTAAAAATCGTGCCTCCTTTCTCACCGCTCTAGCCGTTTTTATTATGCCAAAACCACGGCTGACTGACCAATCAGCGTTCTTGGCTTCGTCTTCAGTCAAATGTCATCCTCCAGTCCGACCAATCAGCAGGCGAATTGCTATTGGTAGAACCCCGTTAAGCTGTATAAAAAACAACGTTTCAGAATCATGCACTTCCGGAATAACTAAGGGGGAGGTGGATTCATTCGATTTTCAAAGTAACAAAACGTTACTTCTACGTGTCGCGTGTTGAAGTAAGAAACTGTTTATTTTCCTTTACACCAGATGCAAGTCACTCTGACTCGTCTACTTCTAAGTAATTGTTCACTACAAGTGTAAATAATGACAATACCTCATCTCAGAAATATAGACATATATCTCACTCTTTTACATGTTTTAAATTAGGTTATTTCGGTTCTAATTCCTTCCAGTGACATGTTAATATAGTTTCTTCCAGTTACATGGCAATAACGTATTTTTTTTAAACTTTTCACTGGAATATAGAATGTTAAAACAAGTAATTTAGTCCAAAGCTTTTTTTTATTTTTCCAAAGATGTTCTACGATTTACGGCCTTATCACGTTGAAACACCGGTTCTCTTACGATCGCCGAAATTAAGCAACATCAAGCCTGGTCAGTGACTAGATGGGTGACCGCTTCGGAATAGCAGGTGTTGTAACGTTGGATGTGCGGGTGGTGTAATGGCTAAACCATTATTATCATAAAAAATATCTTACAATCTAAAAATATTTTCTGGCTTTAAATAACCTGCAAAAGTTGATAAGCGTTCTTCTCCGTGTCGTCCCAAATACAAGCCGTGTCATTTCTTAATAATTCCACCATCGGTTGGATTATAGTGGTAAGGGCTAGTATGAATCTACCCAAATACTTTATAATGTCTATTATAAGTTTTAATTTGGTCCCTGAAGTAGGAACTTCTAATATTTTAATCGCTTTTATTTTATCCTTCCACAGCTGCATTCCTTTACTCGATATGATATATCCAAAATATTTTATTTGAAATTTTCACATTTTTTCTTTTTTTAATTTTATTCCATCCTGTTCTAGTCTTTTAAAATCTTTCTTTTAGTCTTTGTTAGGGTAAACCAGAAAAAAAAAAATTTAAATGGGAGTTACCTCCCTTTACGATTTTGGAATCTCCACGATTACTGGGAATGAAAGAGAATGAAAAGACTTTAAAAGGCATGGAAACCAAGCCCTGAATAGAAAACAAACCTCTACTCCTGTTCAATAGACAACGAAGGAATATGAGCCGGGCGATAGGCGAAACTATCTACTCCTATTAAGGAAAAAATAAAACAAATAAATGAATAGTAAATAATATTTCAGAGTTTAGGCGAAGACGTCAGACGTATAGAGTTAAAGTAGATTTTAGAAGGAACCAGAAACCCAATTCTAAATAGGGAACAACATATAAACCTCATACACCTGTTCAAGAGACGTCGGAGGAGTACGAACCAGGCGATGGATGAGACTATCTACGCCTATTCTTCTGTCGAACGTTTCTGGCGCAAATGAGATAGCGGAAGGTAGTTTTCTTTTAAATAATATCGCCTGTTACGAATGTTGTCTGGTTTCATCCAGAGGCATTTGATGAAATCCGTTGGCTGCATCTAATTCTCAAAAGATGACTGACTCCGCCAGGTTTGCGGGGTACGTCTTCCAACGTGGGTAACATTGGATGCCCACACTTAATTATTGTAATTTTTTTAATCGACCCATATCCTGATATTTCCTTTCTGTTTACCATTAATACAGTTGGTACACACCAATCATTCTGTTCTGTTACTTGCCTTTTTTGTCTGAACCATAAGAATTAATCTTGGCACTGGTGTACTGTGAGGGACGATACCGTCTTTACACATAATCTCGGCTGGGTTACATTTTTTTTTTAATCATTTCACCCCCAGCAAGGCGATAATGCCACTAAGATGCAAGGGGATGAAAGAAAATATAAAGACTTTTGAAGAATGAACTGGAAACAACAGATAAACTTCGACTTCTGTTCAAAAATCAGGGATGGAGGCAAACCTATTTACTCCTATTTGTTATTTCCTTTACCGCATATTTTAATTTGCCCACAATTGTTATCAGTCCCATCTTATAAGCAGGGCCATGTGATAATAAATTTTATAAATATCTACCTTTTATAACAGTAATTAAATGGTTATCCTTTTTGTAACGTTATTCGATCACTGTGATAAAACTCGCTTTATAATTGAATATTCCTCCGAGTTCGAGCTTTTTTTTTCCTTTGCAGCATTCTGACGCGTCTTGATATCCTCACAGTATTTAGTATTGTTGAAGTTACCATTTTTGTCGAGATTTACAAACTCTACATTTCATTCAAAATCGCAAACCAATCGATAAGATTTTGTTTAGAAAAGCACTTTGACAAATACTCTACTTCGTGGTTTAATAATTTCTTTAATTTAATTTTATAGGGCATCAATGCAAACAATATTTTTTAAGAATATTTCTTTTTCCTTTTTAATAGCGAAGAATAAATTCTTAGGATTTCTTACTCTTGAGCATGCAACATAACATAATTTTTCTGGAGCCAAATTCCAACTTTTTGAAGCGCTTGGCCTTATGATTAGTTTATAGTTCTTTCATCCGCTGAGCGAACTGGAAACCGGATTCTTGTATATAAAAACTTAAAGAAAAGATATGCAAAAAAACAATATTGCATTTTTATTAAATAAATATTTGTTATTGTGATCATTAAATTGTTTGTTTGTTTTTTTTTTAATAGTGGGAGTATATTGTATGTTAAATCATGAAACTTTTAATTTTTCAAACAAATTAATTAAGATTCATTGTACTAAGCTACGCACCCTAATAAAATTAATTACACTTTGTACCCCACTTACCTGTTTGCACTTGTCTCAAATATTTGGTTTCGATCTGTTAATGTATGGCTATTTTAGAGGGTGGGACGAACGGACGGACGATATATAATTTTATATATAGATAACATTTGCTTGTATGAGTTTGGGGTTGTTTCGAAGATTCAAACGGAAAATGTTACAGAAAAAAAAACATATTGTTAGGAAATTTGGTTTCCTGTGCTATACTAGACTTTTCTCGCCAGAATCTATCTTACACATTTATAAGTCTACCATTTGTCCTTGCTTTGAATATGTTATGGTCCAGGTTAGGACCAAGGAAAAACAACACGAACACTAGAGTAGAAATAACGAAGGTATATTACACGAAATAAGATGTGGAAGGTGTTAGTATGACTGTCAGTCTAGTTTGGAGTGAACTACTATCGGCTCGGCTCGATTCGGTATCTAGCGCCCCCCACCACGAGGGTTGCATGTGGCACAAGGCCGAGTTTAACGTGGGTTTCTCGAGCCCGTAGGCTCGGCCCAAAAAAATCCCGTAGAACCCGTATAAACGGGATCGGGTTGGTCAACCTCCCCGAACGAGATTCTGCCCTTCGGCGGAGCCTCGTCCGGGTTCCTCTCTGCTCAGAGGCATAGACTTCGACCGTCAAGCCAAGAAGCTCGACTTGATTCAGTATCTAGCCCCCCCCCACGAGGGTTGCATGCGACACAAGGTCATTTTTATCGTGGGTTTCCTGAGCCCGTAGGCTCAGCCAAAAATATGCCCGTATAACTCGTAAAAACGAGATCGGGTAGGTCATTCACCCCGAACGAGATTCTGCCCTTCGGCGGAGCCTCGTCCGGGTTCCTTTCTGCTCAAGAGCAGAGAGTTCGACCGTCAAGCCGAAAAGATCGGCTTGATTCAGTATCTAGCCACCCCCCCACGAGAGTTGCATGCGACACAAGGTCATTTTTATCGTGGGTTTCCTGAGCCCGTAGGCTCAGCCAAAAATATGCCCGTATGACTCGTAAAAACGAGATCAGGGTAGGTCATTCACCCCGAACGAGATTCTGCCCTTCGGCGGAACCTCGTCCGGGTTCCTTTCTGCTCAAAAGCAGAGAGTTCGACCGTCAAGTCGAAAAGATCGGCTTGATTCGACCCTCTCTCTTGAGAAGCGTAGTATACATAGTGTTAGGAAGAGTTCATTCTGTTGTTATAGGTAAGGACCCATGACAGAATATTTCTGCCACATCTAGTCTTGTACTCCTGCTATATATTTAGAGATTCTTGATAAAATCCAGAGAAGAATCAGCAATGTTATTGGTCTTGACCTGGCATCTCGGCTTCAGTCACTTTCCCACTGCCGTAACGTAGTTTCCCTGTGCCTTTAATATAAATACTTTCATGGTAATTGTTTTGATGAACTTTCCTCGATGGTACCTAGACTTTATGAATTTAAGCGCCAGTACTAGATTGGCGGAAAGGTCTCATCATTTTACATTTAAAATGGCGGCTAGATGTAACCGTAAGTTCTATGATGAGAGTTTCTTCTCTTGCATTTCTCGCTCGTGGAACTCTATTCAGGCTTTTTGCTCTCCAGTCATCTTTGATCATCAAAAATTTAAATGCAATGTCAACCGTTATATTCTGCCTTCTTCATTCCTGTTCTTTTATTGTCTTTTATTTTCTTTTTCTTCTCGTATTCTTTAACATTCAGTAACCATTTACGTTTTAGTGGCTTTATTGCCTTGATTGAGGTTATAGGCTGAAATCACTGCAAAATCCGAGGAAACTGATATCGAAGTCTAGAAGCGTGTGTGCCACTCTGTGCCCACTCACCTGCAATTGTACATTGATCCCAAGACATTAGGTTTATAAGTCCCTAAAATTCACTCACTGATATCCCCAAGGTTGGTTGACCGATTCTAAAGTGACTTGACCCAAAGTTATGAGTTCAATACCTGACTACAGCAGAGGTAACAAAAACTTGGAGAGTTGAGTTACCAAGGAGAATTTACTGAAATTGAGATATCCGAAGGTGTAACATGTGGAGTTAGAACAATCTAATCCAGTGGATTAAATAAAGAGTTCGGTTCGAAATTCCAATTAATATCACCTGGAGAAGGCCGGAGCTTACAACGGCTTAAATGCCGTGAATGTGGCAATAAAGATGAGGACAACAGTCCTAACAATGTAAATAGTGGAAATGGTTGCAATAACTCATCTCAGAAATATAGACAGGTGTAGAAGGAAGAATCTGCAATGTTACCGGTCTTGGCATCTCGGCTTCAGTCATATTTCTACCACCGTAACGTCGCTTCCTGTGACTTTTCATAAATATCTTCATAGTAATTGTTCTGATGAGCTTTCCTCTTTGGTATCTCGACATTACAAGTTTAAGCGTAGAGATTGGCAGCATTTTACAGTTTAAATGGTAACCCCAAGATCTCTGTTAATAGTTCTCGCTTGTTTCCCACAAGCGAGAACTATTAACATAGATCTTACTTTCCTGTCCGCTTTAATTCTTCAAACATTTAAATGCAGTATTAATTGTTATTTTCTGTCTTCTTAATTCCTGTCTTTTTATAGTTCTCTCACTGTAATTTGATTTTTTTCTCATATTCTCTCACATTCAGTAACTGCTTGCGTCTTAGTGACTTTATTGCCTTACTTCGGATGAAAGGATTAAACAAAACAAAGTATCATATAGGCGTCTGAAGATACTCAAAATTGATCAAAGACCACGAAGACAGAAAGTGATTTCTTACTGGCCTGCCAGTTCCAGCTGGATGTAATGTAGCTTTGAAGATGTTCAAGAAAAAATAT